CAGGCGCAGTTTGCGAAAGCACAGACCAGGCTGATCGAAATGCTGACCAAGAATTTGCAATACAAGCAGGTTCGGTAACAGGAGTAAGTGAAAGTAGCCCCCAAACAGAAACGTTGACTCAGCAAGTCTGGGAGTTCTGTTACGATGCCGATGCCGTATTACTTTGAATCGTGGTTCCATAAATACGAAGACTTGTTTCGCGTTGATTGAGCCGATGTCCCAGAGGAAAATAAAGTTCGCTTCATGCTGCGGAAATTGGGTGCGGATGAACATGAAAAGTTCATGAATTTTGTCTTACCGAAGAAGACCACTGACTTAACATCCGACGAATCGATTGTTACTTTGTCGCAGATATTTGGAGAACAATCGTCACTATGCAATATCCGAAACGGGCGCGTGACAATGACCAAAAGAGATGATGAAGACTGAGTAACTTAATCGAGTGGCGTGACTCGTGAGTGTGAACAGTCGCTGCTTAACAAGATGATAGGTGATCAGTACAAGTGCCTTATGTATGTGTGTGGTCTTCAAGCACCCAAAGATGCTCATGTCCGAACAAGAGTACTAAACAATGAGCAATGATTCTATACGTATTAAGAAGGATTGCTTTACAAGTACCGTTGGGTGGTCTGCTGGATTAATGAAAACGGTAATGAAAAAAGCATTTAGTTGTTTTACTGTCAAAATAATGGACTTATCACTTTTGATGCAGTAGCTTTGCACTCTGAGCGTTTCCATAGCTTCAATAAGCGAAAAAAGTAAACCGAAGATATTTTCCGGGAGTAGGATAGAGAGTAACGTCAAGTGACAAAATGTAAGTGCAGGAGTGGGTCATCCAATCGAATTTTAAATATGGCTAGCGTGGGTGCTGAAACAACAGGTTCGGGAAGACCGTTCCATGGTTGACAATCACGAATGGAAAAGAAATTTCTACGGCACATCAGGCAGCGGTATTGTTCTGCTACTTTCAAGGAGTGGCCTCTAACTTTGGTGTTACAGCTGAGTTGCAGTAACGGACGGCACACATGATTTGGAATGTGCAAAATCAACTATGCCATTATCAAGTCGCCTCGTAGTCGGCGATACCACCAGTTATAATTCAGGTGTCTGCCATGTAATTGCAGGCGGTACCAAAGAGAATCAGCGAACGGTAAGTATGAATCCTCAACGGTCTCGCGCTGTAGGTCGCTTCGGTAATACAGAATTACCACTCCTCCTTTCGTAAGCCTGTCGTTTCGTATGAGTGGCATGCACGGCAGCGAGACTGCAGCGTCTGTCATTCCAGTGTGCAACCATATCTCCGTGACACCGATAATATCGCATGGCTTCGAAATTTGGCGATTCTTCAGTTCGACCAGCTTATTGAAAAGGCTTTGAGCATTTGTATAAAGGCAGGGTAGTTTCTCGGTCTCAGGGAGCACACAGAGAGCCAAAGGAGTCATGTGTGGTAGAATGCCGACCGATGCGAAATCTGCCGTTACTCTTTTCTTGATGGGATGATGATGACATGTCGCTCGCAAGGTGCGTCCCATTCCTTATCCGGACATGCTGCAGAATCGCGAGACCGAGCGGTAAAGTGATGCTCATGCGTAATCGCTGGTAGGATTGCTTTTTCAGGTAGGCTCATGTCTCGTATTCGCAAGGATTCAGCGGCTTTTAACCGAAGTTCAAATGGAAGGCTTTTACGATGTCTCCGCTAACGTTCTAACACTTGGTTCCTGTTTGCACCGACTGAACCAGGAATTCTAGGATTCTTGGTCCGCTTTCTCTATAATTTGGTGAGAGAGGTAGCCTTTAAGAGATCGCGCCACAATGTTGTCCAAGGAACGAACCGCCACTGTTCCAAATCGTGATTACCGGCATCATGACTATCGTGGGAAGCAAGTACTTGCACGCCATAAATAAGGATGGTGCTTAGATAATCCATCTGGCTATGTCCACCTGTGATGTTTCTTGTCGATTGTCGCGGGCTACAAGGGACCTCAGGATAGATGCGTATCTTATAAAGCCCGTGTTGTAGCGCACTTGTAGATCGCAAACGGTTTTCTATATCAATCGTCGATTCCAGTGTTACCCTAATAATTCTGGGTTCACCATAGTGTGCAGAGTTCGGGTGACGAGTAACTCTCACTAGGTTTGTGGATTTGGCTGTTACGTTCATTAAGATGCACAGTGAGTTCCACTGGTCTTGGTCTTCAGACAACGTACCCAGCAATGTGATGGCGTTAGATTCGGGGACATTGGTGCACACGACAGTCATGGAGTTATTATTGGAGAGCCTTTTTGTTGAACCGTAGGTTCGGGTGATCGTTGGGACTAGATTTATGCCAAGCGATGATGGCCCACTGTTTGCCACTCTAGTAGCGTTAGCGGTGTCTACAACAGCGGAGACACTAAAGGTAGCATCCAGAGGGAATTTTTGCAGCGATCTTTGCATATGTGGCCGGAGTCTCGAACGCTTTGAACGCGACCAGAGGCCCTTCGGTTGCAAATGCAGTAGACTCGGGTTCGGCTGTCCATCCTTATTAACGATACAAGTTACCAAGACCGGCTGAATTTGAGCGATCACGTGTTTCGAGAGGCGCCTGATTTTTGGGGTTCTGAGTACCGCTTGTCTGTTTTCGTCTGGCGTTCATCCAAAATTGAAGAGAATAACGCCAAAGGGGGCCTTGTCAATCGTGGTTCGAGCGAAGTAAATTTTGCCTTGATGCTTCTCTTTGAAGTCACTGTGCTGGAATGATACACACTCGCTTCGTGATAGAATCTTAGAGTTCGTTCGTTGTTCAACTTATTCTAGCAATTTTGGACTGGAGGTTACTACCTCCAGTGGGATGGTAGGACACGCAGTACAAAACGAGATATCATCTTGGGCGTTGGTTCGAGTTGTCACATGTTGTAGGGAAAAAGTTGCAGATTTTATATTGTACCATCTGTAACTATGTGTGCAAGGTACACCGAATTTGACTAATCGATTACATTCAGCGGACTCACCCTTCGACTGGAGCCCTTATGGATTCGCATATGCTTCCTTTCTGCTACTTGGCATAGTGTTGCAGGCTAGTTGATGTTGCGCAATTTTCCGACTGGCCGGTTGCGTACCCCATTCAGAAACTTGGATGCGGACACTCCGTTACTTGGACACACACTACCCAGTGAAGTGAGAAAGAACGCGATAAAACCAGCCTGCCCGGACTTGAAACAGACGCACGCTGGATTCAGCTCACACGACGGTACAAAAGCCCCAATGTCAGGTGACTGCTTCCACAGCCGTTCTTGTTGGGCCATCAGCCGTTCTGAGTGAAGGAAATCCTTGCCTCACCTTTCGTAAGCTATTGACGTGTTTGTACAGCAGTGTGTGGTTAGCACTGAATGCTTTTGCGATGTTCTGCTGATAGCCGGCTTTGTCTTCTCTTATGAGTTGAGTACAGTGCTTACGTTGGGCTACGTAGTTGTCCCAAGTTTCTAGTGCTGCAGCTTCTCTGTACACTCGCCATGTTGCGTTGCGTACTGTTATCCATTTTCGAGTCCTGCTCCTAACAAAAGAAACTGATGTACACTTAGTGCAAACTCTTATTTCTGGAGCCCCTGAAATCAGCTGACTGAATTTGTTGATGAACTCGAGCCAGGCGACTTTAGAGGGTTATTTGGCAAGGAACAACCATGTTGTAACGCTGACGAGCTGGGCTAATCGATCGTAGTTTGTGATGCTTCGCACAGTCTCATCGTTCTCATCCCATATTCCACATAGCTGACGAAGTTGCAACTCGTGACTGCGTGATCACTGCGACCCAACAAGCAGTCTAAAACCAACACATCCATCATATGCTCCTCGTTGGTACGCACAACATCCAGCACAGATGGAGTGTTATCTGTTCTGAACCGAGTGTGCAAAGTGATGTGAGTGTAAAATGGAACATTGGTTATGAGATCGTGCAGCTCGGCTTTGAATTGTTCTCCGATCGGAGTTTCTACACACTGTACCGTGAAATCACCAATGATAAGCATGTGAGTGTACTTTCGATGCAAAATGCATCTTGAATCAGCCGCTAGGTGGTAGGAGGTTTTGGGTGTATGGTCAGGGTGGCGGTACACCAAGACATTAAGGCAAGCCTATAACAGTCAGATAAGTATTATGTTGCTTAATGTTCCTCTTTCTGGAATATTGTGTATCTACTCTCTATAGTCGGGCAACAGATGGCCTTATGTGTCCCACGACAATTTTGAAAGCACTTGTTGTACCAAGTTTCGCAACAGTTGAGTCTAATTTGGATAATGAACCTATTGAGTAGGTGACAACAAGGGACTCATGATTTCTGTTCTTTAGCAGTAGTGGATGTACCGCGTGTCCTTGACGAACCATATGCCTTGAACGCAACATAATGGAGTTGCTCCTCCTGTCGGAGTACCTAGCTCTGGATCGTTGCTTATATATTCGGCTTGGCTGCTCTGTGCTGAAATGGGATTTTGTTATCGAGCATTGAACTCGAGGAACTGATTCGTGTGTGTCCACTGAGCGTTTATACTGCCGTTTCTTGCTCCACGATCTGTGCCGGTCTGTCGTATCTCGGAGTCAGCATAGGTATACCGCTGAGGATTAAGGTGTCCGTGCACTCAGTGCGGTGCCAAACTGAATCGATTTTAATAAAAGCATTTCGTTGCCTCCTTTAAGCCTTAGGCAAGCGTATTTGAGATGGGAATTTTTGAACGGCTAGAGAATTCCATTCCAGACCATACACAGCTTGCCACACCGCGGTTAACGTATGTTTTGCAACGCATCGGGCTTAGCCTTCCGTGGGCAAACAGGAGTGATCTTCGATTTTGTGAATGTCACTTGTCGCAGGGTCCGTCCGAGCAAGTTGATCCCAGACGCTATCGGCTAGATTGGTGGTGATGTTGACACTGACTATGCTACTGTTCGAATGGGTGTGCGAGTGCACAAACACATTGAGTCACGTCCGCGAGCAGTTGTCACATTAAGGTAAGATCACAGGATACCCCGCATGGAGCAGCAATCATGGGTCGCTCGGAAGGTTTGGTTGGAAGCTTATGCGAACAACTTCTGAGCTCTCACTATCTATGTGTTAAACGGATTAGTGTCGCCTTACGGATCGAGATGCGTAGCCAGCTAATTTGGTATGCAATGGCGCTGTTGTCTGCGTGAGATTGCGAGCCACAATCAGTTCACAAAGCAAATGCTTCAAATGACTACTCCAATAAGCCTGTGCCTTTGGTTATCGCACAGAGGCAAAGTTGTGCTACATGCGTTTACGCAAACTTTGAGACGATTACTTACTAGTTTTATTTTACGACGAGCTACGCAAACTACATCCAACATCTAAATTAGGGTGAGGTGACTTAAACCTGTTTCAACTGACTAGCCGTTGACAGTTGGGGCTGGAGCGCTGACTGGTAGTAGGTCTAGAGTATTCGTTTTCCATTTCTACTTGTCCTGCTCGTGGAAGCCCCGATAGCTATCCGACTTGAAAGAACAGACGAGCACCTTACATCCAGAAAAGCAACTTTCTCTAACTGTTCTATTTTATAGTTATGTGACTGTTTGTAAGCTTAGTGGCTCCATAAGCCGGCTATCTCAGCATCCAGGGCGCCCGGAAGAATATGAAATATAGGAAAACGCGACCCGAGTAACATCCCCAGGTATACTTACCCCATTGATTGCGCGGCAATTTGAGTGCTACGGTGTTTATCTTACTTTGTTTAAAGGATAAATTAATGTTTAAGCTTACCCGATCGCAGCAATTACAGATCAAGTCGGGCTATCCTAAATTGCACCCTTGCTCATCTTGTGCCACGCAACTGGCTTCACATTATTTATACAGGGTACAAGTAGTGTAAGTCGGAGCAAAGGTGAATTCGAAAGCACTCATTTCTTCCATCATGCCTGCTCATTTACGTTGATTTTATGGCGCCACTGACACGAGAAGCACGGCATCTAGGCATTGATATTTATGATTGAGCAAGAGACTATTCATAAACACGTCGTTTTGCTTACCTTTAATGGTGATCACGCCAAAGATCGATTTTGATTTTGTCTTTCTCGGGATGAATGATTTACAGTGGTCGGGCTTTCATTTGAGTCTGGTTCTTCCTACGTTGTGCACACTGTCATGCCGAGTGTCATGTAATCATTCTGTCATTAAATGACCCAAGTTCAGGGCAGTTTGGCATTTGATCTCTACAATCACTAACTAGTTTAGATTTGACTACTCATCTTCAGTGCTTTTTACAAATTTCCCAAACGTGAAGGGGCGTAAAGAAAGAACACGATTTTAGTAGATAAAAAACAAACGGTATATAAATCGACAGTGCGAGCCAAGGTCCAACTAAAGCATGGATAACACTTGGTTGGGTGGATATCATCACTACGCGAGGTTAATGATGTAGGCAGCCGATTTTTCCAACAGGACATTTATGGCCGTATTATTGTGCACTTTCTCCTTCATAGGATGTTTTTTGTATTCTATTGAATGCACTTCATTGGTTTGGAAAGTCTGAGAAACTTGTTCTTGAAAAAGTTTTGGCCAAATGTTGTTTAGAGAACCCACATCGGCTTGTATATAGAAGTTCAAGGTCCACACAAGACGCAGTATCTTGCCTAATTCATTTGGTGTTGTTCTCGCTAGACAGTAGGGATAAATATGCACGTGTCGGTTCCCTTGAATGGAGCAACGCTTTCGACTGTTAACTGTGAATTCCTTTGCAACATTTACCCGCTTGATATTCAACCCTCCTTAGTCTTCTTGCCAAAGCATTATTTCACCAAACATACTAAGGTTATTAGGTTTGGCTGCAGAAGATCCTCGCCACAAGTTCCGGTGTCCTTCAAGGACCTAATTTGCCATCATTCTTGTTCTCTACTTACATTAGCTTCGTACCTGTCTCCAAAGAAGGCATCTTTTTAAATTTGCTGTTGGTTTATCTATCGATGTGAACCATATTACTCCTGCTTCGTCTTAGTTGTTTGTGTGAACTAATGCAACTGTCAAAATCACGATGTGTGAGGCCTACCGATAACAGTTACGTTCTGTACACCACACTCTCAGACTATCGCAACGCCATTAACCAGACGCAAGATCAGAGCAACAAATAACGTAATTTGGCTAAATTCCTGCTTGATCTGAAAGCTATCATTCATTAACTAACCAGTAAATTTACTAATAAGGTTATGAATCAATATCAGAAATCATTTCAGGGTAAAGAATTCTTTTCGGTAAATCTCATCAGACCCAAACTTTTACATAACAGTGATTGTGGATATAGCGTCAACTGGGGCTGGGATTGACTTCTTGACTGTTTGAATGACCAAAATCGATAACTTGAGACAGAGATAGAGATGGTAGACCAAGTAAACTAAATAAACATATGTACACAATTCTCATTAGTACAAGGTAATTAAGTAGGTAAGATGACGTCCAAATAACTAAGTAACGGTGTCCGTTGGCCAAGGTAGTAATATCGGCCGTATAAATCGTTTTTGGACACATAATTCCGGCTTTAGATGGTGAATGTACATAGCCTCGGCGATGGCTAAGAGCTGTTTGCGGAATCCTTGGGAAAAGTGTTCAGGTAATGAGTAAATGACTTTGAAGTCATTCTCCGAAGCTGTATGGCCACATTCAAGGAGGTGCGACATGATAGAGCTGTCTGAAGATCTCATTTCGCCTCTGTAAAACCATGCCGGGATGTGTTCACGAACCCTCTGAGATAGGCGTCTCGTCGTACGACCCACGTATCGTGCACCACAGGAGCACGAGTACTGATAAATGATCATTGAACGGGTCAATGGCGGTAGTCTATCCTTCAAGGGTTTTGTAAGCAACGGCTTATTGTGAAAAACGATTCTCAGGCTGGCCGCGAAATAAGTTTTCTCGACAGCATCTTTCAGGCGTCTGGATAACATATCAGCTGCAGAATCGCCCGAAAAGAATTCTTTACCCTGAAATGATTTCCGATATTGATTCATATTAATGAAATGGGAATCTTTGCTTTGCTGAAGATCAGCATTGCCCGTGATTCATTGAAACTCCTAAATGAGTATCTGAAGTTCAATACTCGGCTGGAAGAATCCAGGGTCGAATTGGAATTCCTCAATGAATGCGTACAGGCAAACCGCTATCCAAAGCACTTTTGGAAGGAAATACGGCGGTGTGGCCTCTACCCAAACGCAAAAACCTTGAAGAGACATGCACTCAATTATGTGGATACCATCCGCGTTAAGATGTCGGAGCTGGAGAGATTCATTTCACAAAGATTAACAGCTGTGTTATGCCTGCCTGAAGACTTGAGACAGCCTTTTGAGGATTATGTAGAACTGGTTAAACAGAAAATGGGAGTACGGAAACAAAAGAAGTTAGTTAGTACGCTTAATAGCCATGTCCCCCAGTTGACATTTCCGAATAACCCGCAGCGATATGTGTTTAACCTTTCAAGTGTGATACTAACCCAGACGCAGCTGAACGTGTTGTCATTAGGTCCAAAGTTTTGCATACCATGTAAGAAAATAGATCAGGCGGCTTTAGAAGTGCAGTTTGAAAGCCTAATTGCTCAGACTAAAGACTTGCTTCCAACCTCATCAAGTGATGTTGAGAATCTAAAATCTAGCCTAGTTCATAGTTGCCATGAATACGTTAGGACCAAACCATCTAGTAATAGTATTATCACTAGGGAACAAATCCAGTCACTTAAAGAGCTACGGTTAAACAACGAATTAATAATCTCTAAGCCAGACAAGGGCTCTGGCATAGTGTTAATGGATAGGGTGGATTATATCCATAAAATGCAACACATCCTCAGTGATGAGAGTAAGTTTCAGAGGCTCATGACAGGAAAAGACAACACAGGAGAGGTAGAGAAACAGCTAACCGGCTGCCTCAGGCGAATGATGCAAGCCAAACTCATCACGAAGAAGGAATTCGAAAAGCTGAAGCCTTCAGGTGGACACCTACCGAGATTATATGGCCTACCTAAAGTTCACAAGGAAGGCGCCCCAATGCGCCCAATCTTGGACATGGTGGGTTCTCCTCAGCATTTGTTGGCCCAGTGGATGGTGGCGAAGCTGCAGCCGTTACGGAATTTGGTTTGTACTTACTGCGTGAGAGACACGTTCGAATTCATTGAGAGGATATCTGAAAGCAACCTTGTTAACAAAAGGATGATATCATTCGATGCCCAGTCGTTGTTCACAAACATTCCATTGCTCGAAACCGTGGATTACGTATGCGAGCTTGCTCGGCAACTGCCCATATACACAACTTTTCCGGAGACTTTGCTAAAGGAGGTGTTACTTCGTTGCACGTTAAATGTTCAGTTCACTTTCAATGGTGAAATGTACCGTCAGATTGACGGAGTGGCAATGGGATCTCCTTTGGGGCCGCTGCTGGCTGATATATTCATGGCGAAACTGGAACATGGCCCACTTGCAACGCACATCCGTGAAACTGAAATGTACGTACGGTATGTGGATGACACCTTCGTACTTTGCAAATCCGAAAAGCATGCGGAACAGTTGCTGAAAGCTTTCAATGACGCACACAAGAATCTTCATTTCACTTGTGAACACGAACTCGGAAACCGGTTACCTTTCTTGGATGTAGAAGTTATCCGTAACTCAGACGGATCATGCAGCAGAAAGGTACACAGAAAGCACACATGGACTGGGCAGTACACTAACTTCCACAGCGCAGTACCACTACAGCACAAGCGGAGTTTAATCAGATCTCTCGCCTTCAGGGCGCGCAGTATTTGTACACCGGATACCGTCAACGAAGAACTACAGAGAATCAGCGACGCCCTCAGGGAAAATGGCTATCCGGATAAATTTATCATGAAACATTTGAAGGAACGTAATCGAAAGCCACCTAGGAGCATTGCTCCTAAGAAAGAGCTTTTCATACATGTACCCTTTAAGGGCGATTCTGCAGCTGATATGTTATCCAGACGCCTGAAAGATGCTGTCGAGAAAACTTATTTCGCGGCCCGCCTGAGAATCGTTTTTCACAATAAGCCGTTGCTT